GCAGGGGGCCCAGCGGCGACCACGCGCGCCGCAGTCCCTTCTGGAGGCTCTGGGTACTGCCCCTGCCACTGCAAAGAGCGAGGGGCCCAGCGGCGACCACGCGCGCCGCAGGCCCTTCTGGAGGCTCTGGGTACTGCGCCTGCCAGTGGGGTGAGTGAGTGAGTGAGTGAGTGAGCGAGCGAGCGAGCGAGTGAGTGAGTGAGTGAGTGAGTGGTGAGATCTTGTGTTGAGTGAGTGAGTGAGTGAGTGAGTGATGTGAATGAGTGAGTGAGTGAGTGAGTGAGTGATGTGAGTGATGTGAGTGATGTGAGTGATGTGAGTGAGTGAGTGAGTGAGTGAGTGAGTGAGTGGAGTGAGTGAGTGGACGGCGGGAAGGAGCGAGGGACGGAGGGAGGGACGGGCGGGCGGGCGGATGCGGGCGGGATGGCAGCCAACAAAACTAGAACCCCACACAGAGATGTGGGGAATAATTCCCCAAAAGGTTTAGGGCTTCTCAATTCTTTTCTTAAGATATGTCCGCCTGCTCTGTACGGCTGTGTCCGTCTCTGCCTTGCAACCCTTTACATTTGTCTCCCAGCTCTGGGCTGCTGTGGCCGCCTCTGCCTTGCGCAATCCTTTGTCCAAGCTCTAGTTTCGATGTTGAAGAACACAAACTGTTTGGGGTCTACGGTGGTGTAATTTTTCTCTGCAAATTGGTCGACGGTGAGTAATTAGAAACATTGGCGTCCACATTTTTGCAACCTCTCCCCTCCTGTGAACGTCTTCGGTTGCAGGCTCCCTATCTTTGGTAAGACCTGGGTCCCGAGAAAAGGATGAACTGACACTGGGTAAGACCTGGGTAAGACCTGGGTACCAACACTTAAAGACTTACACCTGGTTACTTGTTGATCTCATGTTTTGTTGGGCCCCTCAGGCTGGGACTTGGTTCAGCTGCCGAAGTTTCTCAGCAAAAGACTAGTTTCTGTCAACTTCCTGAATTCCTTCCAGCCAAGCTGGCTGCCATGTGGCATCATCCCAGGATGAAGAGAAACTGAACCACGCCTGATCTTTCTTTTATGTACATATATATATATATATATATATTATATAATAAATGATACAGTACATACGAGATAACAAAATATGATATGACATTATACTGCTTTAAGATTACGTATCTTAGTACATCCTGTTTCTTTCTTTTTCTGCTCAGGAAGAACGTGATTCGCCGGAAGCCGGGTACACGTCAACGGTGATTCAAAGATCTGCAGGTTTGGCCGCTACCAGTCGGAGTTCTTCCAGCGGACCTACGACTTTGACCGACGGGTTCGGAGGGCCCGGTGTGACCGATGAGGGTTCGGAGGGCGCGTGAGGGAGCGGGAGACATGTGACAGATGTTTTGGTCGATGATTCCTGATGAAGACAACAAAGAAGTCAGTCTTCCTGGGTTTTTGCATGGTTTCAGAGAAAGATTTGTCTCTACATTATATCAATCCCGAATGATTTGTTTGATCTTGACATAAGAGATCAGTCTACAGCGGTATAGACTTCAGTTGTCACAGGACAAGATGTGTGAATTGGCCTGTGATCGTAGTGGTTTAACTGCTTCTTTCGATCCTTTCAGACCAAACGTCCGAAAAGTGCCAGACGGAGCGGACGTGGTTTTCTTTTTGAGATCGGTTTTGACACGTTGACTCAAAACGGAGCGGACGCTCGGAGCGGATGCTCAAAACGGACACCCGTAGCTTGCGTGCCAAGCAACCTTCCAGAACCCGCCGGGACCGTTTTGGTGGACGGTTTTCTTCTCTTCCGCCACTGAGGACCGGAAGATCCAGTTCTTGGAGAGCAGCTTGGGTCGCTTCATTCGCTCTGTTGGGTGGGTAGCTTTTGATGGCTGGGCAAGAACTCAGAGATGCACAGATGTTTTGTGGAAAAGGAGGTGGAGGATGAGGGAAGGACCAGCGGAGCAGTTCTTTTCCAAAGTGGACAAGTAGTGCAAGTGGAGTGAGAGGAGTCACCCTCAGTGGATGAAGGCCGCTCCACTGATGGAATCAGCAGACGACCTGGTGCTATGTGCCATGGCGACATATCTGTAGTAGAGAATGTAGACGTTAAACTGAACGGCACAGTCTTTTGTTGTTTTTGCCCATCTTGAGGAAGCCTTTTGAGTTCTTTTTAAACATCCAGCAAAAGTTTGTGAGGAAAAATGCGGGGCTAACATCAACCCCCGAACACCATTAGTTTGCAGAGGGACCGTGGAAAGGATCCGGACCTTTGCTTGGGGAAACATGCCCCTTGACCTGACCACCGGACCATATGTGTGGTACCGTTTCTGGCCTCATCCTCGAGTAGGCAGAACTTTGCATCACGGGCTTCTTTGACCTGCTTCTGCAGTTTTTTCAGGTGCATTGCAGTGTCCACGTCACTCAGCTCCGGGGACACTTCTTACTCTTGACCCAAGCTGTTCTTTCATGAAGTTGTTGTGCCCCAAATCCTCAAGTTCGTCGGTATTGTCCTTGACCCCACCATCGGTTGAGTCTTCGTCAACCCCGCACATGAGTGAATCTCTGATGGGCATGTGATTTTTGGCCTGGTTGCTCCATCAAAAGAACCAAACAAAACCACTGAACCCCTGGCACGGATCCATCCCCAAAAGACCAGACGTCCGGGGTACCTCCTGCGGATCCAGTCTACCTACTTCTTTTCGTTCCGCATTTGCCCAGAACCGACTTCTTTGGTTCCAAATGCCCATACCGACCGTTCCTTCTTCCGCGGAGCCCCACGGTTTCTGGCGGAGTTTTGCCACCGAGGCGGCCAAGTGACCTTGCAAAGCCTCCGCGCCTTCGTTGCCGAGATCCGAGCGGCGCCGCTCTTCTACGTGCAGGCCGGGTGTGGAACCTGGAAGAACGGGCGCGTGGCGAAGAGAGAACGGCCGTGCCGCGGTGAGGCGCGGCGTTTTCAGTTTGGAGATCCTCCTTTGTACTCCCCAAATTAAATCCTGTAGGTCCACTACATTTTTTGAAATTTTCAAAACAAAAAATATAGTTGTGTTGAGACTATATCAGACGTTAGACCCCAGGAAATAATTTCAAACATGATCTCTATGTTGGGGGGGGGGGGGGCAGGGGACAGCATTTAATTGTGTCGAAGAAAAGTTGTTTTGGAGGAGGAGGGGGGTTAGGGGACAGGATTTAATTTTGAAGTGTTTAGAGGATATGGCCAGATGATGCCAGATGGGGGATCAGGAAGAAAAGTATTTGAGAACATTTGAAAACAGATCGAAAAAGACACATACTACGCCAACGCCAAACATGACAGAAGATGAGACAATAGAAACTTGCCAGTCTATGACCACCCACCTGTACAACATTATTTCCAAATAACTTTGAGTATAGGAGGACCCACCTCGCTATGTACCAAAGCGCTGTATGGGGGGCTGACCATGTTCATTGACGTGGCCTATCTTCAAGGAAGACACCTCTAGAATTAATTACAAACATTTCCAGACACAACCCCCCCCCAGAAACAGCCCCAATGTGTCCAAACATGAAGTGCCAAACAATTTTTGTCCATGGGGGCTGACCATGGTCATTGACATGGCCTATCTTCAAGGAAGACACCCCTGGAAATAAATTGCAAACATTTCCAGACACAACCCCCTACCCCAGAAACAGCCCCAATGACTCACAAAGTCCAAACATGAAGTGCCAAACAATTTTTGTCCATGGGGGCTGACCATGTTCATTGACGTGACCTATCTTCAAGGAAGACACCCCTGGAAATAAATTACAAACATTTCCAGACACAACCCCCAACCCCAGAAACAGCCCAAATGATTCACAAAGTCCAAACATGAAGTGTCAAACAATTTTTGTCCATGGGGGCTGACCATGTTCATTGACGTGACCTATCTTCAAGGAAGACACCTCTGGAAATAAATTACAAACATTTCCAGACACAACCCTCCCCAGAAACAACCCAAATGATTCACAAGGTCCAAACATGAAGTGTCAAACAATTTTTGTCCAGGGGGGCTGACCATGGTCATTGACATGGCCTATCTTCAAGGAAGACACCCCTGGAAATAAATTACAAACATT